TAGGGGCCACAGTTCAAACCCAGATCTCCTCTGATGCTAAGTCCCACAGTATTTCTGATATGAGGATAGAGATAGATAGATAGATACATACATACATACATACATACATACATACATTGATATAGATACATAGATAGATATGTATCATATGTGTGTGTGTATATATATATATATATATATATATATATATGAATATAAGATGCTGTTATTAGAATTTTTCAAGTGGTGAAGGATCCATCCAATTAATTTCATTTCTTCAAACATTTATTGAGTATCTACTGTATACAGAGCCCTGTACTGGAATGAAGATGAGCAAGATATAATTAGTCCCTGCCCTCTTAGAACTTGCAGTGTAATAGGAGGGCTAATCAGTTAACAAGTATTCATTAATAAATTAAGATACATGGAATAAAGATGAAGTGATGGGAGGCAGGGAACAGGCAGCTGTGGGAATCATGGGGGGCTTCATGTAGGAGTTAAGTTTGAGCTGAGCTTGGGAAGAAACTAGGAATTCTAAGAAGCCAAGGTGAAGGAGTGTATTCCAGGCATGGGGAATGGCTAATGCAAAGGCAGGGAGACAAGACGTAGAGTGTGTCATGTGGGAGGATGAGCAAGAAGGCTAGGTTCGCTATACTGTAGAGGGCATGAAGGGAAGGAATGTATAATGGTCTGGAAAGGTAGGTTGGGGCCAGTTGCTAAAGGCTTTAAATGCTAAGTCAGTGGAGTGTATATTTGATCTTGGAAGGAATAGGGAACCATGGGAATTTGTTGAATAGAGGAGTGACGTGGTCAAAACTGTGCTTTAGGAAAATTACTTTGACAGCTATGTGGAAGACTGATTCATCTCAAGACCTGAATTCAAATAACCATAATACAAAATACAGTATAATAACCTTACAAAATAGAAACAAAATCCCAAATAAAATCAGAGGAGGGAAGTTCCCTTCTGCCTGGGCTTAAGGGACACTAATTAAAGAGTTGGCAGTGATAGGACATTGATAAGAAATCAAAAAAAAAAAAAAAGAAATGGGGAAGGTGTTTCAGGAGTAGGCAACAGTGTAAATAAAAGCACAGCGGTAGGAAATGGAGGGATATCAGGTAGTCTAATTTGACTAGAGTGTAAGATATGTCAGAGAGAATAGCAAGAGATAAGTTTGGACAGGGTCATAGATTCAGCTCTTACCAACAGAAAGTGTTACTAGATTGTAACCCCCTTGAAGCCAGTGGCTTCATTGTTTTGGACATCCCTCAGTACAGACTGATTGATGTAAAGTCCTGAATTCACATAACCATAATACAAAATGTAATATGATAAGCTGATAAAATAGGAACAGAAACACTGGTCCTTGGTCTGAGTAAGAATTTAAAGAATTGTTTTAATTGACTTGATTGCGTATTCTTAGAAAATTTGATACTAGAGAGCCTTTGGAAAGAACCTCCAAGAGTCTCAAAACTATATACTATCAGCATTTAGGAGGTTCAGATTTAGCTGCAAAGTTTGCTGTTGTGGTGTGTGTGCATGTGTGTGTGTGTGTGTGTGTGTGTGTGTGTGTGTGTGTGTGTGTGTGTTTTAATTCCAGAGCCCGAGGACATTGGGAAATAATCTCTATCAGATAGCAAACATCTTGTCCCTTGGGAACCTTCCTCTTGCCCCTTCCCCCATTTTCTTCCCCGACTTTAGAATTCACCAGGCATGACTGGGCCCATACTTAGATCACAAATTGTATGTGCAGATACTTTAAGAGAAGGTTTCAAATTCAACATAGAAGTCCATAGAAATGGAAGAAAGCTTAGAAATCAGTTTAATCTAGCCCATTCACTTTACATATGAGGAAACTGAGTTCCAGAGAGGGAAAAAAACATGTTCAAGGTCATATTGCTAGATATAAGTGCATAAAGAAGATGTGGATAAAGTTCTGTGGCAGGTCTAGGGAGATAAAGTGGGCACCGAATGCATGGAAAGAGCCACTGAATTGGAGTCAAGAGCCTTAGGTTGCAGTCTTAACTTCTGTCACGAATCAGTCATGGCAAATCATTTTAAATCCTTCTGAGCCTCTATTTTCTCATGTGTAAAATGGGAATAATAGCCACACTTGCGTGGCCCACCAAATTTGAAGGACTGAGAGGGACAGAGGAGACAGAAGGCATTTGGTAAATTGTACCCCTGTAGAAATTTGAATAGGTCAGCTAGGTGACACAGTGGATAGGGCACTGGGCTTGGAGTCAGGAAGACTCATCTTTGTGAGTTCAAATCTGGCCTCAGACACTTTCTAGCTGTGTGACCCTGGGCAAGTCACTTAACCCTTAACAACAACAAAATAGACATTTGAACTTTCATCATTACTCATCAAAGAGAATCCAATTAGGTTTCTTAGAGAAAATAGTATGCACTGTGCTGAGCTTTTTATAAGTATTATCTTATATGACTCTCACAACAACCCTGGGAGACTGTTATGATCTCCATTTTCTTGTTGTTTTCAGGTCATTTCAGTTGTGTTTAACTCTTCATGGCCCCATCTGAGGTTTTCTTGGCAAAAACACTGGAGTGGTTTACCATTTCCTTCTCCAGTTCATTTTACAGATGAGGAAACTGAGACAGCTAGTGTCTGAGACTGGATTTGAACTCAGGTCTTCCTGACTCCAGTCCTAGTGCTCTATCCACTGCGCCTCCAAGCTGCCTCTTGTTTCCATTTTACAGCCCAGAAAACTGAGGGAGCCGGAGGTTAAATGACTTTCCCAGGGTCCCACAGCCAGTAAGTGTCTGAGGCTGGATTTGAACTCAAGTTTTCCTGACTCCAATACAGATACAAAAGTGCTTTGAATGTATAATGTAGTCTGGGAATATAAGTTGCTTTTTTTTCTTTTTAACCAAGCTAATGGTTTCATTGTTGGAGGAAACTCCCATAAGAAAACTCTCTCAGTTAATGGAGTTCAGCACTGGCATTGCAATTTATAGTCTCAGAGAGTTATGTGGAACACTGAGAAATTAAGCAGTTTTGCTCAGGGACTCACAGCTAGTGTGTCAGGAACCCAGGACTTCCTGACTCCGAAGCCTGTTTTCTATGGACTAGGCCATGTTCTCTCTCATTTGCATATATATAAGAATATGATAGTGTTATAACAACCATTATGTATTGGGAATGGGATATATATATTTATATATCTCATCTAAGACAGACACACACATATATATATAGGCTATGTATGTATGTTTGTTTGTATATATGTATGTATATATGTGTGTATGTGTGTGTATACTAATACCATATAGTCTGTCATATGAGAGGTAGTGTGGCATAAGGGTTAGAAATCTGGTGTCAGGGTCAGAGAGGTCCAGGCTAAGGTCCCATCTCTGATCCAAAGTCTGTGTTACACCAGACAGGTCATTTAATTTTCCAGGGACCCAGGCAACTCCGAGAATTTAAGTTACAGAAAAAGCTGATCACTGTATCTCTGCAGGAAGTTTTCTTACTGGGAGATTTTTATACCTCAGAAATCAGAGAACTGGACCAATGTATGTGTGTGTACATATATACATATATGAACATGTATCACAGTATATATGTACACACACATACATACATGCACATGCATGTTTAAGCCATTAAAGCTTAAAACTACAGGAAGACTATGGGGACATGCTGTGTGCCTATATTTATAGATGCATTTTGGTCCCTCAGAAGAGTTGTGATATCATTGTCATAGATATGCCCTTCCTGGGCACAGAACTGGAACCTTTCACAGCTTAGTGGAGTCATCATGAATTTCTGTGGCCAAAAAAAAATTATCTCCTGATGGCCAGCCTTCTGACAATGAGCCTCTTAGCACTTAACCAGGCTGGCCTTCTGACAGTAGGCACACAGTCCATTGCCGGATTCTTACTTAAAGTCTTTCCAGCTTGGTAGGAACTACCGGAGCTTAAATTCTGCTGGCAGAGGCTCGTAGAACCTAGGGTCAGCTCCAGCAGTGGATGATGTCTCTGTGTGTGTGTGTATGTGTGTGCACACGCGTACATGCGCCTGAGCATTTAGACATTTCTTTGTTTCCAGGATCCATGGATTCAGCACAGTGGTAAGATCCTTCACTGATAAGCTAGCAGTTCCTTCTTACTCCCCAGAGATGTTTTCATAAAGTTCTGTGGCCAAAAAAAATGTCATCAGGTGGCCATACTTCTAGCAATGAGCCCCTTTGCACTTAGCAAGGATAGTCCTCAGATGGCAGACATGTGAAAATGATCAGTTGCAGGACCTGTATTCAAAGACTTTACTCCATGCTACCAATAGGCATCACAAGAGGAGTACTATGGTGGATCACTGTGTTTGAGCCTATGTATATAAAATATAATGCAAAGGGATATCAAGATATGTCATGATGTGTGATATGATATAATACATATGCATTATGCATTTTAAATGGATGTATCACATAAACCAATCTATCTTTTGCCCCCTTGTAAATCTAAGTCAGGCCAGTCTGATAGTTTAAATTAAATATTGGAACAAAAAAGGATTAACCTAGCCATAGTGTGGAAATGATCTCCATTAAGAACACAGCCCTGTTTGGATTAGACATGTTTCCCTTCATTTCCATACAGAAAAGCTGGTTGGCAGGATGTCGTGACATGTATTGCACTAGGATGTAGATCAAATCTGATGGGCACTGATGCCCCGTAAGTCAGATCCTTTTAAGCCATTGGGTGACCAGAAAGTTGAATCAACAGTCTATATCTTCGTTGGTTAGGCCAGCTAAGTCTTGATGATTTCCAGTACCTTCTAAGGAAAACCTAGCCCAGCCCACAGGTCAGGGCTCCAGGAAGTGTTGCTCCTACAACAAGACCCCTATAATGGCAATGCTCCCCACATCCTGAATACAGACCATCATCTGTTTGTCAATTTGGGATTGGTGAGCAGTCGCCAGGCCGGCTTTCAACATTCTAGGGGCTCGTTTGAAGCAAAATCCACTTCCGGTATAACTAACTTCTCTCTTGTCTCTTTCAACAGGTAGACTGAAATTAGCGTGTGTCCAAATTAAAACTGCGAACTTCAAGGATTATTTGATGGACTATTCCTAGACCCTTTCCTGAAGATTTAGAAAAAAAGTGAGTTGATTTTTATTAAACTTCAGATAGTATTTGTGATTTAAATTAATGTTGCGCTTTAAAATTTTTAATACATTTTCTTAAACTTTTTTTTTCCTTTTGGCTAATTTGATTGATTCATTGGTAAAATACTTCCCAGGAAGAATAGGATGGATGCTAGTCTTCCCTACTGTGTAACAAGATCCATTCTCGGATACTACTGGAAAGCCATGATTTCACTGATGTAAGGTCCCCCTCAGCTGCCATATCCCAAGCTCTGTATGCCTTTTCATCCAGTGAGTTTCTGACCCATATCTTTCCACAAATCCTTCTTAGAAGATCTGTCCAAAGTGTTGGAGGCCTTTCTCTGGTTCTTTTGATATCTTGGGGCCAATGTGTTATTCAGACTGTCCTCAATATCTTGAAATAACCCCTCCAGCTATACACTGAATCACAGCATCTGAGGTGAAGGGATCTCAGAAGGTATCTATTCTAACCTATCCCTGAACAGAGATCTCCAAATATCCTCAGCAAAATGACCATTTAATCTTTGATGAAAGACCTCCAGGATAATATCATAGAGAAAAATAACTTTGGAAGAGTTTAAGACTGATCACTTTTGTGACAAATTGTGAGTCCAGAAACCTGAAGATGAAACACATAACTTCCTCCTTACCAGAAAAATGATGAACCTAAATGCAGAGAGAGACACATTTTCAGACTAGGCTGATGTGGGAATTTATTTGTATGTATATCTATATATATGTATGTGTGTGTGTGTGTGTGTGTGTGTGTGTGTGTGTGTGATGAGTGTTTTATTTTATGAAGGTTTTGGGTTGTTCATTTGGCAGGGTGGGCAGTAGAAGTGATTGATTATAATTGCATATAAACATAAATTAATTTTTAAAAAATCATTCAGGAATTTGATGTCCCCCAAAGTAGCCCGTTTCACTTTGCAATAGCTCTGTTTATTAGGAAAGGTTTTTTTGCAAACATTTAACCCAGATCTCGCTGCGACCCCTCCCTCACGCATCTGGTTCTGTCCTGGGACTAAGCAGGAGAAGTGAACTGGGTCAGTTACTCCTATGAAAAAATGGTATGAAAAATCTGGCATGACATGACCTTTACTCCCAGAGCCCAACACAGTCCCTAACACATAGTAGCTACTTAAGACATGTTTTTTAATTGGTTGATTAATGAAACCATGCTTCACCTTCTAAACGTTCATATGCCACCCCTTGCATACTTAACATAGCCAATTTAGGAACAATAACAGGGAATTGTGTTTTTCTTGCTTTCTCAATGGGGGATGGGAGATGATGGCATAAAGGTAGGGAATGAAAGAAAGCAAGTCATTGGTTTAAAAAAATAAATAAAATGGCTTAATAGGAAAAAAAATTGCTTGACAATGGTCAGAAATCAATATCATATTCACTGGCTAATAGTTTGAAGACTTTAGCCACTTCCTTTTTTACATAATTGGGACAAGATTTGCCCTTCTACAGTCTTATGGCCCCTCTCTGATTCTCTAGTTTTCCAGCGATCAGTGACAAGTAGTTAGCAAGCACAATTGCCAGCCTTTCACAGAGCCAGAATGCAGTTAATTCAGAGCTGGAGAATTGAACTCAGATATAGACGAGGGTAGCTCGGTACTCAGTGACTACTTTGTCTTCATTTATCTTCACTTTTATCCAATCCATCTGATGCCCCTACGCCCACACAAGTCATTCTTAGAAATAAACTGCAGTCTGCTACACCCATCATTTATCTTGGGATTTCCAAATTCCATAAACTCCTTACATTTCTGGGCTGGTAGGAACCTTGGAGTCCATTTACTCCAACCCTCTTGTTCAATGCAATGATCTCTTCTCTAGCATCTCCAACGTTTGGTCATTTAGTCTCTGCTTCTACATCTCCAGAAACAGGAAGCTCTTTACCTCATAAGATAACCTTTCTAATGTTGGATTATTTTCATTGTTAAGAAATTCTATGCTGTATTGGGCCAAATTACCTCTAGGTAATTTCCCCCCATTGGTCCTAATTCTATCTTCTGAGAATACATAAGCTACATCTATTCCCTTTTCCCCTTCAGACTTTTAAAACCCTTCAGATTATAACTACATGCCCGCATATATGAATATGTGTATTTACATATACATAAATGTCTAGGTAGGTAGATCTGTACATCTCTATGTATGTATTTGCAAGCATTAGGAACTCAGAGTTGAGAAGACCTGGGTTTTGATTACTGTACCAAATACTTACTAGCTATATGACCCTGAGCAAGTCTCTTAATTTGTGTTAGCCTCAGTTTCCTCATCTACAAAATGAGGATAATAATGTTACCTCCCTCATGAGGCTACTAGAAGGAGCAAATGAGATAATACACAAAGTGATTTGCAAATTTCAAAGTGCTATTTAAATATTAGCTGTTATGTCTATTGTATTATTTCTATTGTATTATTCCATTCTGGCTTTAGATTTATTATCCTGTGTGGTCAGGACAATGAGTAAGAGAACAAACAAAAGAAAATTCTATTTGGAGATTAATATGAAAAAATATCTTCTAGTCCAGGAGTACTTAACATTTGAGGTGGTTGGAGTATCATGTACCACTTTGGCAATCTGGGGAAGCCTGTGGACCCTTCCTGAGAATAACATTTGAAAATAATTGAAGGATATGCTAAATTTCAGCTAGGGGCTATTGAACATAAAGATGTTACTTTTTTCCCATCCAAGTTCATGGACTCCCTGAAATCTATAGATAGATCCCTTGTGGGTCCATGAACCCCAAGTTAAGGTAGGATATTAAAACATTATTGCAAATTCAACTCAGTTGTCTACACCTTCAACATCTTTATTCCTGGACAGTTAGAATTAATGTTCATAATGATCATCCTAAGGTCCTGCAAAGTCCAGAAATGCCTTCTAATTTAACAAATATTATTGAGAACCTACTGTATTCAGAATCCCATGCTAAAGGCTGGGGAAGATACAAGGTTCAGATGATGCCATCTTTTCTCTCAAAGAGATATAGTCTAGAAAAAGGTTACATGCATAGATATGTGTACATATCTAAAATAAAAAAAGAATAGGCCCTGAGGACATCAGAAAGGAGCAAGCCAAGTGGTGTGCAAGGTCTTAAGGGAAGGGTGGCAGGTCCTGCTTTCAGCCTGGTGCCCGCATTCAGCACTAAGGGGAGCACTTCCTTTGGAGAAGGGGCTCCCTATGCCTGCTGTCACCATCACCAACTACCACCTTTGGTCACATAAGCCCCAAAAGAGTAGCCTCCAGCATCTATCCCCAGCCCACTGACCTTGCTTCCAACCCAGATCTGATAGCCATCACTGAGGAGAGCAGCCACCATCCCCACTGCCTCCAACACCAACTGATACCCAGCTGCAGCAAAGGGACAGAAAAGGCAGCCTACTTGAAGCTTTAGTGCAGGGAGAGATAAGAGGCAGCGTGTGCCAGGTAGATTGAACCACTATGGTTATCTCATCCATCTCCTTCCCTGAGACTCTAATAGGGATAATCCAGCACCCTCTGCCCCAAAACCCTGGGAAGAGTAGTGGCTTCCAGACCACCAGCCCTGCTTCTAGTCTCTCCCCCATAGCCATCACCTAGATATTAACCTCGTGGAGAAGGGGTCTCCTATCCCAGCTGCTACCATCACCACCTGCCATCTCCAGGCAGCTAAGTCCAAGAGCCCCAGGAGAAGCACCAAAGCCTCCACATACAACCTGCCTCCAAAAGCTATCATCAAGGAAGAAAACCCTTCAGGATATCCAGCCTGGCAATTGTCTCTGCTGGTAATGAAGCCCCTCCTCAGCAGCCATAGCTACAGAAAACCAGAAGACAAATTCCCAAGTCCTTGGTGCCATTCAATGGTTTAACAGATGTGGTTTCCCCCATGGAAATGACAATTAAAGCAATGCATTGCCCTCTGTTTTGGGGATATATCCTAAGGACACCTGGGCTTTTCTACTTGATTTTTTGGCTAAAATTTCCTGTATGGGTTGTTTTTCCCTGTTAGAATGTGAGCTCCTTGAAAATAGAGACTGTCTCACCTTGGAATCTTTGTCCCTGGTGCTTAGCATGTCACTTTGCACAAAATGAACATTTAATAAAAGTTCTTAAAATATATTCATTTGTTCTGAATCATCTAGAAAAGACTTAATTTTATTTAGCAGAGTTTTAGTTACATAGGTTTATACCTGTTCTTTGAAAATTTAGATGTGCATGTACATGCACACTCACACGCACATGCTCACACACACACACATTCATGACTCTCAATATTCAGTGAAGCAGAACCCTGATTCTCCTCCAATATAAATAAAACATCCTGAGACTAATCTCTGTGTGTCTCTGGATTTCTGTCCATGTGCCTGGATGTGTGTGACTTTATGTATGAGGTAGCTAAGAGGCGCAATGGAGAAAGCACCAGGCCCAGTGAATCTGAAAGGCCTGAGTTCAAATCTGGTCTCAGACCCTTCCCAGCTCTGTCATCCTGAGCAAGTCACTTAATCTCTGTTTGCCTCAGTTTCCTCTTCTGTAAAATGGCATTGATAATAGCACCTACCTCGCAGAATTGTTGTCGGGATCAAATGAGATATTTGTAAGAGAAAGAGAAAGAGAGAGAGAGAGAGAGAGAGAGAGAGAGAGAGAGAGAGAGAGAGAGAGAGAGAGAGAGAGAGAGAGAGTTCTTAGTACTTAGAAAGTACTTAGCATAGCGCCCAGCATGTAGAAAGCACAATATACATGTTATCTATGGAAATGATGGTGATGTCTATGTGTATGTATGGCTCTACATATGAGGCTGAAATTTGTGTGTGTATCAGGATAGAGGGCAGTTAGGGTTGATGATGTGAATAGACATATGTTTGGACAGATGGACCAATGTATTCCAATAAGTTTTGGCAAGTTTTCAAGTGTAAAAAGGTTTGAAATAAGCCCTAATCCCTTAAGTGAGTCCCTTAAGTTAGAGGCAAGGCAGAGCTCTCTCTCCACCT